TTCCTTCCTTCCTTCCTTCCTTCCTTCCTTCCTTCCTTCCTTCCTTCCTTCCTTCCCCCCCAACACCTGCACCCAGGTGTTCTCACTGCTTGTTTTCCTTCACCAGGGCACCAGAGAGAAGAACCAAGACATAGTCATTCCCAAGGGCTGCACCCTGGCCTTCAGGACCATCCCGCTACTCATTGGAGATGGAAAATGGGGTAAGTAACTTCCAGAAATGACCAATTCCTCCTTTCCAGAAACAGTGCAGAAGAGGAAGAATATTTTAGCAAGCATCACTCAACCCTACTCTGCCCTCAGCTGGTGTGCAAGGAGATGAGGAAGTGTGAGGGACAGAAATCAACTGAGGGAGGTCAGATAACCCATGCGAGGTCAAAGAGCTACAGGGGAAAGATGCTCTTTAAGGAGGGGTCAGTTAAGAAAGGAAAGAAGGAAGCCTCAGGCCTGTATTTCAGGAGCTGCAGAATTCCCATTCATAAATAAAACAGAGAGCAGAGTTTGGTTTCTTTCTTTTCTCTGTTTTTTTCTCTCTTCTTTGCTCATTTTCTTTCTTTTCTTTTTCAGACGAAAAGAGACAAGGAGAAAAGAGGGTGGGTGAACAACACTGGGAATACAACACTATAAATTGTCATTTTTTTGTTCTCTTTCAGATGTGGGTTATTTCTTCACAACAAGACAGAATATAGAAACTGTGGGAGGTGATCATAAGTAATGTATTTTAGAGCTTTCACTTGCAGAACTTTTACCTGCTTTGGGTAAGATGGAATCACCCAGTATAAAACAAATCACCTGCAGTGATTTGCCTCTGCTCTAAGATATCACAACTGTCCAAATTCCATATCACTTCAAAAACACTCATACAAGTGTTTCAATCTCTGGGTTTAGAGCTGCTAATGAACTCCTAGAACTCAAGTGACAGATTTGGTCTTATTCTGGTTTACAGATGAATCAATGGGAAGATTAGCAGGTGTCATGGGTGAAGTGGAATGCCGCTGTCAAATTTTCTCCAAGTTGTCTCCTGACCTGCTGCTCATTGTCTTCAACACCATCAAAGCTGTGATGACAGACAAGAACCTCTTTCAAGAGCTCAGACAGAAAGTAAGTGAAGCTTTTCTTACTGCCACGATTTATAAATACAGACACAACCAGGACCACGCCTCTTGCCCCACGACTCACCTGTCCTGTGCCACAACTGCCCATCCAAAATTCCCTCACTCACCACATCTCTCTGTACTGGACAAGCAGCAGCCTCAGCCCTCAGATCCTGACATTTCTTTCCCTTGTTCCCACAGATGGAAGAAATTCTTGAGCAAAATGACGGTTATGAGCTGAAAACTGAGAGCCCAGACTTAAAAGACCTGTTCAG